AGGACGATGAGTCGCTGAGGTTTGGGCCGGTGGTGGAGGTCACCCCGCTGGCAGTGACACTCATGTTGGTGGGCAGGGTGACTTCGGCGACGGCCAGGCAGCCTTCCATCAGCGCGTGGAAGTACGTGGAGAACCTGCCCTGCTCGGCGGCCACGGCAGCCCCGGAGCTCCCGCAGGGCCCGCCCGAGACCCAGCTCTGGGCCTCCTCGTCATAGAGCTTGTGCAGCTCCGACTGCAGGGCCATCAGCATGGCCAGGCAGGGGTTCAGCTGGAGGGCGATGGAGGTGGACAGGCCAGCGGGGTGCCTCCTCTGCTCCAGGGCGTGCACCGTGCGCAGCAGCTCGGCCAGCAGGTGGAACACCTGCTCCTTCACGCAGGCCGCCATGTCCGTGGTCCACAGGAAGCTCCCTGAGGGCAAAGTGCGCGGTCAGAACAGTGGCCCCGAACGACCCTGCAGTGTGGGCCTGCGTCCTACACACACAGAGTGGCACGGCCGCTGGGGCTGCAGCTGGGGCTTCTTCGGGTTGGGCAGCATGGCCCCAGAGCTGCGTGTGGTCTTGCCCCTGGGCCACAGGGACAGCACGCCTGGAGTCACAGAGGAGACATTATTTCCTCCCTCAGAAGGCTGTCGAGAAAGTTGGTGACCAGCCACTAGCACCGGTTTCCCGCAGGGAACAAGGCCTCTATCCCTCCCTCCAGCAGCTGCCCCTGACATGACAGCGGATGGCCTCAGAGCAGAGACTGGCCACGGCCTTCTTGTCCCCCCAGACAAGTGGTTAAAACTTGAATCAGCGGCCAGCTTTAAAACTGGGGCATTCACTCTGTGTATTTCTAGCTTTATTGGTAAAACAAGCAAACAAAATCCCCCAAAATGACCAACCCCCTCCCCTGGCAGGACGGAGGCCAAGTTCTCATGCAGCGAGGGGAGGCAGGGGGCTCAGGGGCAGCCTGGCGGGGTGGGGGTCATCTGTCACTTTTCTCATTTTATCTGCACTGGGAACTTTTGAACGACGGAGACATTCCTTCCATTGCAGCCTTCCCCTCTAACTTCTGATTGTTTTAAGAAGGTTTTATAAAAATAAAAGAAATTCAAAGAGAGGGACAGTTGGCAGAAGGCTGCAGTAAAGACCCAGACACGAATGGCCTAGGTTCCCCTGCGAACACGCTGACCAGCATTCACCCCCGTCCCACCTTGGTTTCCGATTCTTTCCAGAAAAGGTGCATGTGTCCTTATGTCTCACCCTTAAACACATCAGCAGTTCTGTCATCCAGTGGAGCTCCACCCTGACTGATGGCAATTTGGGTGGTCAATTGTCACATGTGAACTGGTCACTTGTGAGGCCTATGATGCTGTGTCCACGTGGTCAGACTGTTCGCTTTTCAGGCCCCCTAGTGGGCTTCCCTGCCACTCTCCACCCTGACCCTGGGGAGCCCACTGCCTGCGCCCCTGGGTCCTGGGGCGAGGGAGCCTCACCCAGCAGCTCCACTACTTGCAGGAGGACGGACGTCGGGATGGTGTCAGGCTCGTCCTCCGACTTGCCCTCGCTGTCTTCCGACCTCCAGGAGAGCAGCTGCTCGGCGAAGGCCATGGCCAGCGGGAACTCCAGCGGCAGAGAGTGCAGCATGAGCACAGCTCCCGGCGTCGGGGACACCCCTGCAAGAAGCCAGGCGCATGGTCACTGGGGAAGGAGCGCCGCCTGAGAAAGGGACCTGTCAGGCGTGGGGCCCAAATGGGGCCTGGGAAGCCCGCCTTGCCCCAGGGGCGGAGTCTCTTTGGGTGGGAGGAAAGGTACCTCTGGAGGTTCCCAATGAGCACCAGGTGCCAGGGGACCAGAGTCAGTACAGCTTTCCAATGGACCTACTTCCTGGGTGCTGAGAGACCGGGGAAGGACCGGCCAGGGAGCCCTCGGTCCCCATCATGGAGGCTTCCTGGGAAGGTCCCCAGCTTGGTAAAGAAAGGCTCACCCTTGGGTGCAGGTGTCGCCCAGGAAGACCATGACACTTACGGAGTGGACCAGCAAGGCACCCCTAAGACTTAACGCACTTCTAAGATGCTGGGTTTTGACTTTTAAAATTTTTCATTCAGCCATTGCGTGGGTGGAAGTCTGATCCAAACTGCCAGCAGCAGTGAGAGAGAAAGGGCCCGGGCTGGGTGTAGCTCCATCCTGCCCACCCTGCCCCCAAGCCCATGACAAGCGGTGCTCACCGCGGGGGAGGGAGGGGGGGAATGAGAGGTGCGATGGTGAGCTCTTGTTCTCAGCCCGAGGGAACAACTGAGCTGGCACAGGACAAACACAGCCATGCTCACTCATTCCCCCCCAGCACGCGGTCGGGGTCACAGACTCGGCAAGAACCACCCACCAAGGATCTCGCCTTCCCTCCTGTGCAGGTCTGTTCATTTATCGCTCTGAAGCTCCAACGCCGCCCCAGACAGGGCGAAGCCTTTATCTCGGGAAATGGGACCGTGGGCACAAGATGTGTTCTAGGCTCTGGGAAGCAGAGGCGGATGGAGACTATAGTCCTCGCCGTGGGAGGGTAGGGGTGGGGTGAGGCGGCTTACTGACCCAGCTTGATGTGGACTTTGTCTGTGGAGAGGATCACCGACGGGTACTGGTTGGTGGTGGGAGGCGGCGTGAGGCCGGTGTTGGCCGGAGACGCGTCCCGGGGGTAGCAGACTGCTTCGATGAGGCTGAGCTGCCCGCTGCGCTTCACCTTGTGGCCCAGGCCGTATACCAGCACCCTGGCCCAGGGGGCCTTGTACAGGGAGGAGCTGGGGGGGGGGAGGCAGGTGTCAACCGGAGACAGGCCTGCTATTTCACGAGATCCCACCAGCCCCGATCACGCCTTCCTTCTTTAGAAGCCCTCTGAGCCGCTCCACACAGAGCGATTTCCCCAACACAAAGCACAAAGGACTTTAAAATGCGGTCCAGAAGGTTCGAGTCTGAGCGAGCCTCTGGGACAAAGTGGAACTACACGCTGTGTTTCCAGGCTGGCCTCCCCAGGGGAGCTAACGGCCAGGCCTTTCCTCCTGCGGAGGAGCAGCAGCGGGTGGGATGGACCCACCAGCCTTTCGGTCTGCAGCTGAGCACTGAACCACTGTGGCACGAGGGCTCCACTTTGAAACACCGTGGCCTTAGAACCCAAACCACTTATGTTTTCCCCTCTGTCACTTTGAACAGAAGCGTTTGACTTGCCCCCTCCCCACCCCCAAACCCCCCTTTCCGCCACCCCATCCGCAGAGCAGGCCCCTTACTCTTTGCGGAATCCAGACTGGCTTTCTTTACAAGACACGACCACAAAAGCCGCACCAGGGAAGTTGACATCCATGTTGACCTTGGACTCGGAAATGGGGAATTCTTCCGAGGGGAACTGCTCGGGGGCTGTCTGTAAGGAGACGTTTGGTCAGGCACGTGCGTGAGACTCGTTTTCTCAGCTCCCTGGGCTGTTAGCGAGTGCTAACAGCCAGGAGGGGAACCCTGGGGGGCTGCGATGGCACCTGGAGTGAGCAGGGCGGGGTGGGAATGCCTGGCTGAGGGGTGTGTGCAGCGTGACAGACAGCAAGTTACCTGCAGGAAGGAGCAGAGCTGCTTGGTGAGCTCCAGCAGGCTCTCCTCGCCCTGGTGCAGCGTGCGCGTGATGGCCACGTTCAGCCACTCGCGCACCGTCTGGGCGCTGCCCTGGTAGAAGAGGTCGGTGGCCGAGCAGTTCTGGCCGTGGCTGCAATGCTGCAGGGACTGCGCCAGCAGGATGGAGCTGGAGCTGAGGGTGCCGTCTGCAGACAGGGAGCAAAGCACCCGCTGACAAGAAGCCAGGCAGCCCGTGGGGGCCAAGTCCGACGTAACAGAAAATGAGCAGCACGCCCAGAGACACCACCACCACCAACCAGACCCTTCAGGCAGTTACGACGGGTGACCTAAGGTGCATGCACCCCACCCGTCCAACTGTTCCCCTCGTGGATCTGTTAGTGGAGCCTCGGGGAGGAGCCTCGTTCCAGACGCAGAGGGTGACTAGGGCCCCAGCCTCAGGGCTTCCACCAGCTTCTCTCAGACCAGTGAGCCTGGTCTCCTGTGACTCTGAGATGGAGCTCTTTTCAGAGAGGTGACAGTGGTGGCTGGGCACCACCCAGTTCTTTGGTCTCGGGGTTGTGGACACGGATGTTTGCATGGTCCCTGAGTCCACTGGGCTGTTTCACGTATTTCTGATTTTCCAGGCAGGGGGAGATCAACGCTTGTACCTTGAACGGCCACTCACAAGCTTTTAAGACCCGGCTGCTCCTCACCAAAGCAGGGTGTAGCACATGCTCTCGGTGGACTGTGTTTATGCCGACTGACCTCAGTGTCTGCAGTCCCCAGGACCACTGAAGGAAAACCTGAGCTGCTTGCAGTGGAAGGGGTACCCGAGCCTGGCCCATCTGGCTGCCCGGGCCCACCCGGAGGCAGGGTCGAGGGGCTGCCAGGTGTCTTGGCGCAGTCTGTAGAGCAGCAGGTTTGATCATCATGACAACACTCGGGATGTCTGCACGTTCAGGCTCTCGCAGGCACGTTCTACGGCTCCACGTCTGGAGGTAGGCTAGCAGACTCCGGTGCTCACAAAGACCAATGGAGAGGTAGCATGTGCACATACACACATACAAACACGTGCACACACACGTGTGCTGCCAGGGACTCCGCAGCGGTGAGCCGGAAGGCAGCTACCCCCAAAAGGGAGTGGCTGGAGCCTGCCTCACCAGGCTGCTGTGACGGCTGCTGGGGACCGTGTCGCAGGGTGCAGGCGGAGAAGCAGAGGCAGACAGCAGACGTCCCTCAGTCTCGGGCTTGGCAGCGGGAAGACCAATCTTGGTGTGTGCCAGGGGAGCAGACGTATGGTATCGGCCCTCCCCGCCCAGGGCCCCAAGTTCATCAGACACCCCAGGCTGGCCCACTCAAACAGCTCCACTCGGACTCTCCAGGTCTGAAGGCTCTGCTGTGGAGGTGCTTGGGAACGGGCAGGCTGGCATTCTTTGGGCTGGCTGGGCACAGTGAGGCCATTTCATCAACAGTACGTCATGTCCCTTGACTCACTTTGACTTAGTTTGGGAAGCTCCGCGACTGTTAAGACTGACGACTAACGTGAGGAATACTCCTAACGGTGCTCAGAGACGAGGGGGATCGGCGCCCTCCAGAGGAGGAGGATGGGAGAGCCCAGCACACATGATGCTGAGACCTGGCCCAGTCTGGGGCCTGGGGCTCTGGGGCTGACAGTAGCAAAGCCATGTTTACCTGGGAGGGGAGGGGCGAGGAGCTGGTTGGACAGCAGCTGCAGGTGCTCCAGGGTAATGTCCCGGATGGCTGGGATGTGGAAGAGGCGGGTGAACAGATGAGGCAGCTTGGGGGCGAAGATGTTGAGCAGGGCCATGCGGCAGTAGAGCCTGGCCAACGCAGCCTCGCAGCGCAGCAGCTCTCTACAAGGGAGGGCGGGGGTGGGGGGGTGGTGGTTAGCTCCGGCGTCTACGTGCACCGCCAGCAGCAGGGCTCCTGCTGGACAAACCTGTACGATGCTGCCCTTGGAAAGCTAATGCCAAGGTGGGCTATTTTGGCCTCGCAAAGGTCCTCATCTACCTGCACGTAGGATCAATTACCCGACCGGGGACTGACCATATCCAAGTGGAGGTGTCAAGGAGTCACCTGGACACGTGGAGTTCCAGTAAGAGGTCAAAGCTAGAGACACCGTCAAGTTAATAAGGGGTTCAAAACCGTGACCCTAAGGAGAGACTGTGGTGACTAGTGGGTAAATAACATTGAAAAAAAAAAAAAGTTTAGGAAACTCCATTTATGATGATGTTTTCTTTTTGAATTGCTACCAGGAGAATTTTTAAGACCAAAGGAAACAATTCACTGGGGAATCAGAGTGAGAGGGAGGGAATTTTGCCGGATCTTTGGGTTTTAAGCCACAGGGGTGGGCGTGTGCCTTTAACATCTCCTGCTCCCGCACAGAACCCCACAAGGTGCAAACTGGCAGATTTTAGCTGTTTCCAGCAAGCACTTGATAAACCCAGTTAGCTTAACCAAGGCAACAGCTGGCAGCTCACATGGTGCCCAGCGTCCTTGGAAGACCTCCTCTTCACTCACTTCATGGTCTTCTCCTGGCTCTCTGAGCACCTTCTCGATCCCCCATGCTTAGCAGAGAGACGGTGCACATGCCAGGGACCCCAGCCACCCGGCTCCCATTCCACTGTGCTGGTCCCTCCCGCTAATGCCTAGCTTTGAAGGCAGCCCCCTGCCTTCTTGTCAAGGACAAATGGGGCACCTGGTCAAATGGGGGGTAGCTTTTGATGGCCACCTCCCTAGCAGGAAGGCTTACGTGTACCTGTGAATTTGAAGGCTGGTGTTGTCCAGTGTGACCAGCCCGTTGGTGGCAGTCCGGCGATAGCCTGCGGGGGGCCTTTCCAGCCTATCAAGGGGGTACCAGTACCGGACCAGCACGCCTTCACTTCGCAGGTACGTCTCCACTTGCACCAATTCATTTACCTACAGCAGTGGAAGGGGATGGTGTTTCGTTTTCCAAGTTTAGAAAATATGTGAAGTAACATATATATCTCCAACACACACACACACACACAGACCACACACATACAAGCTTCAAAAAGGTTCCTGGACAAAAACTATTAGCTACTGGACTGAGGCTAAGATTCACAGGTAGCTGGCCAGGACTGATAGCAGTTATTGATTTGTTCATGCCAGAGAGCAACTAGAGTTCTTACAATAAGTTCGTGAGGTCGTGAGAATGTACTGGAGAGAGCAGGGTGCTGCCCTGTCTCAGCACTGTCTCAGCACACCCGTGGCTGCCGGGAACGAGGCGTGCTGCTCTCGTGTCAACGCTTTTCTTACAGCGTGGGACCTGCCGGGTCGATTACCGGCAGGAAAGTCAAAAGTAAGTTCGTGCGGTGCCTTCTGGACTCAAGTGGCAGTGGCATTGTTACGCAGGGATTGTTTTAAAAGGGGATCAAATTACATGAGGGATCACAGGGTCATGATACGCAGGGATTGTTTTCAAAGGGGATCACATTACACGAGGGATCACAGTCATGAGGAAGCATGGGATTCTTGAGCCGAGTTTTTGTTTCTCTGCTTTTGGGTCGGACGCATTTCTCTTGCTGGACACTCATGCGTGATGTGTTCTCTGGGGGCCTGGGTCAGGCAGCTGTGTTGCACGGCACGGGGAGGTTAACAATCTACTGAGGGCCAGTCTCCATCCCAAAGTCCCCTGCTTCAGGCAGCCACCAAACAGCAGCCTGTCCACAAAGAGTTCGTGGTTTAAGTAAGTCCTGGTAAAACGGAGTCCACGGACCGTGGAAGAGTTTGCATGATCTGGATCCTCAGACCGAGACCAGCACTTAGCTCTCCTTCGTCACAGGCACGGCTTTCTATCAGAGACTCCACTCTCTCGTAGGTCCTCGGGGTTTCTCGCGTCAGCCTCAGGATGATGCAGTCACAGGGTCCTTTCTCTAAAGCTGGCTTCTGCTTTCCTCTCGCTCCTGTTGCTTCTCTACCCTTCACCCCACAAAAAGCTCGTGAAGACCCCAACAAGGAGTGCTCGAGTTTCACACACCGACCTCTTTTCCAGACAGGGAAGCGGCCGCCAGGAGAACCAGGGGGATGATGCCACCGCCACCTGACCAGGCTCTCGCCGCCACGGTCACGATGACCACAGGCCAGCCGGTTGCCATGGAGCTGATTCTGACCCAAAGGCCCTCCAGGACAGAGCGGACCTGCTCCCTCCAGTTTCCACAGTCAGGTCTGCCATCTCTCCAGGGTCAGCCCCCTCCCCTGCCTCCCGAGGGCTGTGGTTGGCCCGTCAGTTAGTGGTCAAGTGCTGAATAACTGCACCACCAGGGATCCTTTATGAAGGACCGGGGGAGTTCTTCCCCTGGGCGCGTGGGCTGGTGCAGCAGGGACCCCCGGTGAAAAGGGCTGGAAGAGCACACTGTGGGGGACGGCATGGTCTGAAGGAGCCAGGGGCACCTGCTCTATGACAGGCCCTGATGCGGGTCCATGGGGCATCCTCTCTGGCCAGGCAGTTAACGGGTTTCTCCGTCCCTAACTGGAAGGGCAACCCTCCTGGGTAAACCCCGCTGAAGGGACGTGGAGTACAGGCATGAAGGTCTGGCCCCATACAAGGGCTTATTAGACTGAAATCGTATTCGTCTGAAAGACAGCTCACTTACTGAGTCAACATCTAAGACAACTCCGTGAAGCCCAAAGGTTTTCAGCATCCCTCGGATGGCGAATTTTGGCAGGGCGGTGCCGACGGCATTGCTGGCCACGTTATTGCTGTCTGGAGAGCGGGTTACCACCGTGAGGCCTGAGGAGCAGGGGGGCGAGAGTCAGTGTTCAGCAGCAGGGACCGCCATCTGCCAGTAAAACAGCTCTGACAACACTGAGCGTTAGCCTCAGGTCAGAAAGGATGAAAACAGGACACGGCTCTGAGGCAGCACAACAAAATGGTTTAAGAGCCCTAGAACTCATCCGTCGTGACAACGGCCTGATGTTTTGAGTGACAAATGCAAATGGGCAGGGGATTTGAAGACATGGTTCCCCAAAGAGAAAAGGAAAACCATCATTGGTCAGTGGAGACCTACCACTCAAGCCCACGCCACCACCATCGAGTCCATGCCAACTCAGAGTGACCCTATAGGACCGAGGAGAACTGGCCAGCGGGAGTGGAAAGCTAGTGAGCTCAAACTGCTGACCGTTGTCCCCGGGGGTCCTTTGACACCCACTAGGCTGGCTCTAAGGGGCACACACACTGCAACAGCCAGTGGAGAGGACCTGGAGGAAATGGATGTGCGCCCCCTGCTGGTGGGTGTGGACGAGGGCGCTGCCACTCTGCAGAGGCCGATCCTCACCCCTGACACACACAGGGCCTCAAGAGCTCAGTGATGCAGACATCCCTTCTGCACACGAGGCAGGAAACCACGCGTCCACACAGACGTGTACAGGGCCTTTCCCTGCAGCCGTTACTCGTAAGAGCCGAACTGATCCATGGGCACAGGGAATGTGGGGCAGCCGGGGTGGGGGGTTGGGGTGAGAGAGTGCGCTGTGCCACAGCATAGGCGGGCCTTAGAGGCACTGAGCTGAGCGGAAGCAGCCGGATGAGGTCCAATGGATGTCCAGGACAGGCCAATGCAGAGCCCAGGGGTTGACTGGCCATCTCCAGGGAGTCCAGGGGAGAAGGAATCGGGAGTGGGGCAGGGCTTCTTCAGGCTGATGGTTATGCAACTTTCTACACGGCTCAGCTCCACTTCATGAGGGTGAGTCATATGACTCCTGTCTCAGAAGAGGAGGAGGAAAGGCCAGGGGTCGTGGCCCACCCTCCTGCCTGAGCGCTCTGCTGTGTCTGGAGCGGGCCCTCCACCACTGACTTCTCACAGTAAGCGGCTCGGGCTCCACATTGTCCTTGGTTGGTTTTCTGTTCCCTTGTTTCTCCGCAATGTGCAATCGAGTGACGTGAACCGACTGGGAAGGGCAAGCATGTGGGACAGCATGTGGCCCGAGCACAGTCAGCCCGGGAAAGAGGAGGGCCACCCCAGGGCAGCCAGGAGCTGCCTGGCTCAAGGTCAACCGCTCACTTCCTAGGACACCTCAGAAGCAAAAGAAAGGAGATCACAAACCTTTTCGAACTTTATCGATTGTGAACTTGTTGGCTTCGTCTTTGATGTCCTCAATGGTGGGGAGATAAAGGTCTCTCGGGATGCCACCATTCTCTTCATAGAGAAATTCAACCGTCTGCCTGGCAATATCGACCATTCCTAAAAGACAGACCCCAACCCAGCTTGGCGTGACTCTAGAGGGGCCACAGCCTTCTCACTCACCACTCCCTCTCCTTACACCTGGAATGAGGAGAGGAGAGAGGCCGGCGTCAGCCACCTTTGGGCAGAGGTGACTATAAAGTGTCTTACCACCTATAACATGGGCTCTGACTCCCTGCCCCACCTCTAGGGATCTTGCCCACAGAAGCACAGGCACAAGCCGGCCGAGGGGCCTGGGTAATAAGAACCCAGAACCAGAGAGAGCCCAGGTGTTCATAGATAGCAAACATGGTGGCACCTTATTGGGCTGCCACTACCTTTCAGTGACAATGACAGGGCTGGGGAATGTCTTCCTAGGCAAACAATGAGCGCACTACCCAGTTTTTGTCAACGGTTCCACCCCTCTCTGGCTATTTCCCTCCGTGAGTTGTAAGCCCCCAATACAGTCCTTCTTATTTCACATCATGAACCAGGTGAGAACGGCAACTTGGCGGGATGGCCTGTGTCTTGGGGTATTATAAATTTTCTGCCTTTGACGGTGTGCAGTCGCGCTATTTATCTGCCGATTGCTTGGTCTGGTGGAAATCACTGAGCACCCTGTCTCTGGCAGCCTCCCTTCTGACACAGGCTCCAGCCTGCCCTTTCACCGAACCTTGTGGCCCTGCATTGGGCTGTAAAAGGAGGAAAACTGAAACTGAAACTTATAAATTCTTTCATGGCACAAGCTAGTTTAAAAAATAAATACAAATCGGAGACTGGATCACTTGAGAGAGAGACAGACAGACAGACAGACAGACAGACAGACACACACACACACACACACACACACACACACACCCCGTTGCAACCACAAGGTGGCGTATTTGCCCATCACCTGTTGCTCCCACTAGATAGGAGTTAACCTGAGCTGGGTGAGAGTAAGGACCAACCTAGCCTTTGCCTTTTGCCCAGCTTCCAGCAGATTCCTCATTCCCTCGCACAAGGCCCACCCTTAGGAGGGGCTTGAATGTAAAAACGCACAAGAACTACTGACTGACCAACCGACTTGTGCCGGGCTTCCAAGCAGCCAGGGACCAATGTGGCCAATTTATGTTTCATCAGTAAAAGTTGTTTGAAAGCAATCTAAAAGGACACAGAGATGCGAGACTGGTCGGAGGGCAGCAGGATCTCTCAGGAAGGCCGACACTGCCCCACTGGCTCCTGCGCACAGGCTTCCCTACCCACACCTCTCACTGCTGCACCGGCTTGGCCTTCCTGCAGTTCCCGAACAATCCACACTCACCCTCATTTTCCCAAGACTGCGCCCATTTAAGAGACAAGTTAACTGGGAGGGCAGAGAGGAGGGCGAGCAGAAGGTCTGCGCTAGGGTTTGGGTTGGCAGCTGGACTTGAGTTCTGAGGGAAGAGCAGACGGCATGTCCTGCGATGGCAGCGGACAGAAGGCTCTTCCCGGAGGCTGAGTGCCAAGTGTTCAGAAGCAAAGCTGTCACTTTGAGGACCAAGATTCCCTGACCCCAGCCTTGGTCTTGTCTACTGCCTGCCAGAGCCTCCTATGAATGCTCACTATGTGAACGAGGAAGAGGAGCGGATGCTGCCGCTTGGAATGATGGTCACGGCTAAGAATCCTGAATCGATCACAAGCTGCCAGAAGAACAAATAAACTTGTGTTGGAAGACGGAACAGCCACAATGCTCCTCAGAACCAGGAATAAATAGCGAGCCTCTGCCTCACGTACGTGGGGCATGTTGTCCCTGAAGAAGGACGTCATGGTTGGTAAAGCAGAGGGGCAGCGAAAAAGATGGATGGGGCAATCCAACAAGATGGACCGGCACCATGGTTGCAGCAATGGGCTCCAACAGACTGACAATTGTGAGGATGGAGCAGGGCTGGACAGTGTTTGAGGCAAAAGCCAGGCCAGGAGACAGACTGGTGACACAGGGACAACATCTCTGGGACTTCTGATGGCCAGGTGATGGCAGAAGGCCCAAGTTCACATTCCACTGGAGAGGGCAGCTGAGTCGACTGGAAAAGGCATTTCAGCATCTTGAAACGTTATGCAAAATCAGGAAGCCTTACACAGAAACAAGCTGCGTGCCCATAAGACTCTGGGATAATTCTGAGTTCATCTGTATTATGAAATCTTTAACTTGTACTATTTGTAGCTTGGAGACACAGTAAGGATTTTAGCAGGTCTGGGGAAAGAACATATCATCATCATCGTGACCATGAGAAGAATTCTATTAACTGAATGCTGACCGTGTGCCAACCATCGTTCTAGAAACTTTGCCTATACTAACCCAGCTATTTCATATACGAGACATAAGCAGTCATTACATATAAAGCAGGTACGGAACCCTTTCTTGACCCATGGGATGAATACTACTCACCAGCAATGCCAGCCTCTCGGGGTTCTTGGGAGGCTAGTATCCCAGTCTGCCCTACGACCCGGAGGGGACTATGGCGTGCCTCTGGAGAAGTGGGCCTCGCCCCACCAACCCTCCTACCAGATCACCTGGGACACATGTCCCACAGGACTGAATCAAGATCCAGATTACTGACAGAAACATCCCCCTTTCAGCATGCCCTCCATGACTGGAAAACACATGGTGTGAAGGGATAATTCAGAGTGGAGAAGAACATCGTGCAGGAAGGGTTACAGATGAGAAAGGCCCGCAGAAGTTCAGTAACTTTCCCATGGCTACACAGCAGGGAAATGGCTCAGTGGTGACTGTAGCACTAGCAATCCACCTTTCTGCTAGCCCACCTCCATCCCCACCCCGCAGCTTCATCTCGGGGCCTATCAAGCCAAACCGAAGGTTTGCACTGGCTAGGAAAGCCCACCACAGAGTTCACCGACGGAACAGTGGAACCCACAGTCAGGTGGGGTCAGGTTTAGGTAAGCCCCTCTTTCTTGGTTGGGAAGAGGAAAAGGCGCAGACCTAGTTGTAACGCCCCCTTGATCTGGTCCAGGCCCGACTTCCGCTCCGCTTCATTGCGGAAGCGTCTCCGGATGGTGGGAAAAACCTTGGTCTCCCAGGCCTTCACCAGCAGGGCGTAGTGGTCCTCCTGGAGGGAGACAGCAAACACAGCATCAGAGAAGCAGCGCCCTGCATGGGGCTCAGGCCTGCCCTTCCTCATCCCTTCTCCCAACTCCAAAGCCAGCGAAGGCAACAGCCGGCCAAGTACGCCCCTCAGGGTCAGCTAGCCTGCCTAAGCGCCTCCTCTGCTGCCAAGGCAGCGGGACGCAGCGCCCCTGCTGGATCGCCAGCCCCTGGCACTCCAGTGGGCAGAAAAGCCCAGCAGACACTGCTCCTGGTGGGAGGTGCGGCCACTGAGCACTGAATTCAGAGTCACGGAGCAAAGATGACCCAAGTGAGCGTGTGACAAATCCAACCTTGCACCCTCTGCTCAAACCCCCTCCCGTGGTCCTTCCTGGTCACCAGGGAGCTACGTGAGCACCGCTGTGCCCGGCGGCCACGCCCACAGGCCTCTTACCTGTGGGATGTCGTCATCATCGTCATCGTCACTCTCATCGTCGGCAATGGGGGGCGGGTGGGGGTCTGGGCCGGAGGTGATGAAATTCTCGTAGCTGAGCTCCACCTTGCAGCGGCAGGAGGTGTCGCTGTCGTACTCTGAAACGAGCACAGGAGCGTGAGCCCTGAGCACGCGCAGGCTGGGCACACCTGCCCACCTGTCTCTCAGTCCGGCACAGGCTCTCAGGCTGTGGGAGATAGGGGTCCGAGTACTCTGGGGGGTGGGGAGCAGGGCAGAGTATAAGCATAGTGCCAAGGAATAAATAAACGTTCATGCTAAATGTGCTTTTATGGGTAATATTAATTCAACACAGAAGATACTTTGGAAAGTGCATCACAAGAAGTAAACAGACTCGAGAAAGAGCTTACAAACCAGCATTTCCCTGGCCAGATCTTTCAGCCGGTCTGCTCAGGGCCCCCCAACCCTGCACCTCCACCTTTTACAGTCAGGTTAAAATAACCAGCACATGTTTACAATGCACACCTGCATCTCCCTAGATTCTACAATGACCATTTTACTATTCTTGGGTGATCTCAGTTTTAAAAATCATCTTTTAAAAAAACCCTGAAAACTCCACATTGACCAATTAGGAGATTTTACATGGAAATGTTGGGGGGTGGGCTTTTCTGCATCAAATGGGGATCTCCCCAGTTTCCATTCCCGTGACTACAGACAGGCCTCCCGTGGGGATGTGGGGAAGGCCCTGTCCAGCCTGCCCTGCTTCCCCCTGCTCCACCCTCTCTCCCCAGTCTGGTCTGCCATTTACCAACCCCTGCTTGGGGTGCAGAGGCCCACGGGAAAGGGGTGGGGAAATTCAGAGCTCCCACTGGCCCGGGGACCAGAGGTTCGCCAGGAGGCGGTGGCTTACGCTGCTGAGCTGTGGCCACAGCCGCGATCCGGCACGGTGGCCCATGAGTGCCGGGGTCTGACGCAATACTGGTGCCGGCATCGTTGTCACTGTCCGACGCCATGGCAAAGGGCAGGGCCTCGAAGTTAGCGCTGATCTCTTCGGCCAGGTCGGTGCACAGGTCGGCGGCGTTGCGGTGGGCCTGCCCTTCAGCATAGGCAAACGGGCGGGAGCCAAAGTTGGCCCGAGTTTTGGTGTTCTGGAAAGGACAGCAAAGGAAAGGTGTGAGGGAACTTAGGCTTTAAGTAGAAACAGACTCGGTTTTAACACTCAACTCGGGTACATGCACTCGAAGGCCACCCCAAGGAATGGCTCCTGCGCGGGGCGGCAGGGGACACGGGCCGAGGGCCTGCATGGCCCCTTGGAGAGCCGCGCTGGCGGCCTTCTCGCCTCCCTCTCGCCCTCCTTCCTGCTGGCTGAGGCACCCTGCCTGCCTTCCTCACGTGAGTGTGCACCCAGCGCCACCAGCTTGACGGCCTGAAGTTCGTTCCCCATTCCTTCAAGGAACAAATTCCGCAGCAGAATTTGACTTCCTTTCCAACGAGGGGAACTTGCCTTTTTCTGGATGTGAACCACGGGCCACATCCCACCAGAGACGTCTTCAAGGTAGGGCGCGAGGCGCTGCCCGCAGTAGGTGAAGTACACGCGGCCCTTGGCCGGCTGCCCTGGAGGGGGCGGCGTGCCCTCGGTCCTCTCCCAGCCGATTCCCGCCACGTCACCTGGGGCAGAGAGCGAGAAGGGAAACAACACATTTCTTCCCCAGCTTGCAGTCTGCATCACAACGCCACATGATCACTAACTTTTCACTTACGGACTGGTGCCCAGATTAGTCAGCATATCGTTGTTGAAAATAGACATAGCGTAAGACAGTACATAACCTAGACAAAGCACTTAGAAGAAAATCACTTAGCGTGTGATTAATGACTGCAACTAGGCATTAAGTTGAGCATGAATTTCCCTGGAAGCCAAGACAGTGCCTATAACTAAGAAAACCATTTCCTCCCCCCCCCCCCAAAAAAAATAAGGGATATAAGGTTCTCTTCTTTACGGCAATGGCTCTGCAGATACTGGACATAGAGGGTAGAAAGGCAGTGTTTTGCCTGTTAGCTCGTGGAAGGTGTAGCAATGATCTTCCATGGTTTTTGAAAGTCAACCTTCACCATAAGCTGAAGGGACCCCACGTCATCACATCGTGCGCCCTCACACAGGTCTCTAAGATGCTCTGCCAACAGCTAAGACATGAGGGGTTTTCTGAGGAGGCTACTGGACACCAGGGGGGAGCTTGCAGACCCGAGGACCATGTCTGCTACCTCAGCTCGATCAGCGGCTGCAGACAGGCACGAGCGCGTGGGGCTTCATGGCCTATCAGTGTATGGAGTCATTGAACTCTGCTTGGCGTCAGAGCCTCGCCTGCTTTAGAGTCCACAGGAAGGGCGGCTTCACCATGGCCCGGCGGGGCATCCCCAGGCCTTGTCGAAGATGTGGAGGAGGAATACCAGGAGGGCTGGCCTCGAGGCCCCGACTTGTGGACACGGAACTCCTGGATGCTTTTCTGACACAGACTCACTTCCCTGAGAGGCAGCGTGTGCAGAACCAGAGGTGTGGTCCAAGAAGTGACGGAAGAGGGGGTTGTGCTTCCCCTGGCTGCTCCAAACCCGTGCTCCATGCTGAAGGTGCCTCCGAGCACTCAGCTAAAGGGAGGACCACCTAGGTGCGGAGTTTCACATTTCCAACGTGACCCCAAGTGGAGGAGTGCGTGCCATTTGACAAGCAGCTCCCTCCCGGGAAAGTGACAACAAAAGTTGCCCCCTGGCAAGGATCGACGTCGACCGATGGGATGGGGTCACTTGAGTGGCCCCATCTGAGCCCCCTGCACCACCTGCCACATACAATGGCCACGTCCAACGTATCCAAGACGCAGGGGGAGGCTGGCGAGGGGCTGCTTCGACCGCCACGTTGATGATACACACCAGGTTCTTTACCAAAACCCCAACCGAGCTCGTTGCCACCGGGTTGATCCCACTCAGAGGACAGGGTACAACTGCCCCTGTGGGTGTCCTTCCTCCGGAAGAGGGACTGGTGGTTTGGGGCTGCGGATCTCATGGTCGGCAGCCCCACACGCAGCCCCTCTGCTTCAGAAGCACAGGGCTTCTCTCCAGTTATTTTCGTGAAGGCTGACCAGGGAAGGTCCACTGTCTTGTTACTGAATCGACCGCGTGGCTAAAACATGCAGGCGACTGTTGGGTCTCCGAGCGCAGAGTCAACAGAAGGGGTCCCTTGGTCATGCCTTCCTCAAGGGATCCGTGGCAGATCTCTCTTGTTTGAAGCTGTTGGGCAGCTTACCAGTGGAGAGCTGGCTGATGGAAAGCCCAACTTCCAGAGAGAAGCAACATCTCAGGGGGTGCTTTAATGACAGAGGGAGGGAGGCCAATAGGACTCATATGTCCCTCAGGAGGGGGCTCTTTCAGGAAGGGCT